TTCAAGAGGTAGTCACCTGAAATGGTTTTCCAACAGTCTTGAAGGAGTTCCCAGAGATGCTCAGCACTTGTTGGCTCTTTTGCCTTCAGTCTGCGGTCCAGCTCACCCCAAACCATCTGGATTGGGTTCAGGTCCAGTGACTGTGGAGGCCAAGTCATCTGTCGCAGCACCCCCATCACTCTCCTTCTTGGTCAAATAGCCCTTACACGCTTACCAAATGCTTTGGGTCTGGGTACCCCTTACAAGGGCAAAATAAAATAAAATGGGACCCCTCATAAACCCGATGCTGTTTTAAAAGATAATTTACTGTCATTTCAACCCCCAAATGCCATGGGAATATGTGTTTTAGTTTAGTTTGTTTTATTAGTTCATTGTTCTCAATGCATTTAAAAAGATAAAAACCAAATTAATAATTTAGTGAAATCTTTTGAGGACCCCTAACATAACTCTCACGGACCCCTGGGGGTTGTGGGACCCCAGTTTGAGAATCTATGCCTTACACAGCCTGGAAGTGTGTTATGGGTCATTGTCCTGTTGAAAAATAAATGATGGTCCAACTAAACACAAACCTGCAAGATGCTGTGGTAGCCATGCTGGTTCAGTATGCCTTCAATTTTGAATAAATCCCCAACAGTGTCACCAGCAAATCACCCCCACACCATCACACCTCCTCCTCCATGCTTCACAGTGGGAACCAGGCATGTAGAGTCCATCCGTTCACCTTTTATGCGTCGCACAAAGACACGGTGGTTGGAACCAAAGATCTCAAATTTGGACTCAATAATAGATGGATGGATAAAGTGTTTAAATGTGAATTATATTAGTTTAGGGTCATCATAATTGACGGGGTCCACATCTGTCCCGCAAGTGAGCTCATTCCAGCTCATGGTGAGTTTTTTTAAAATACAAATTGGAGAACAAAAACATTTAATTAATGGCAAATATTTATATCACAAAGTGGATCCTGTTATTCAGATATTCTATGACAATGTTATTTATATGTATTTTTTGTTTTAATTGGATGTCCTTAATGTGCAACAGATACTAGATGTTAGAATTTTAAAGACCAGCAAAGAATATTTATTTACTCTTCTGGTATTTGAGGGAAAACTAAAAACTTCTTATTTCCATAATTTACCTTGTAAATCACAAAACGTTTATCAAAAGCCTTTTTGTACAGTTAATTGATTGAGTTAATAAGTTCTCACATGTTTCCCGTGTAGGGAATAACCGTGTCCAATCAGCGTAGGAAATTTGGGTTCTGATCGCTGATTGGTTACTGATCAAACCACTCAACATGTCCCGCCTCTTCCCGGAAGCTGACAGTCATCTGATTTTCTCTTCTCTTGCTGTGTTTTCCTTTTAGCCAATGCTACAACAAAACAGCTATCCCAGCTTTGTTGTTGCTTCTTTTTCGCCTTCTTTCTCCTTTTTTAAACCACTTCACAGAAGACACAACAACTACTCGACCACCTCTGAAGTATGGATGAGACGAGTCCGCTTGTCTCCCCGCTCCTGGTGGATTCGGGTGGGTTTAGCTACTGCCCCGCAGAGCCCGCCAGCCCCCGGGGCGCGTTCGGAAGCACACCGGGTTCTGTGGTGCGTATCCCGGCCAGCAGTCCGGAGCGCAGCCGGGAGAGACAGCCGCTCCTGGACCGGGACCGGGGGAACGCGTCCAGGGAGCCGCACAGGAACGAGTTCCCAGAAGATCCCGAGTTTAGAGAGATCATTCGTAAGGCCGAACGAGCCATAGAGGAGGGCATCTACCCGGAGAGGATCTACCAGGGCTCCAGTGGAAGCTACTTTGTCAAAGACTCACAGGGGGTAAGAGGAGCTGCTTCTAATCTACAACTACTGACAAAACTTCACAACGTTGTCATTTTTCCCCCTTAATTTGACTGTAATTTTGACAAAACAGTGTTTTGGTGAAGTGCTTGCAGAAAGGCCTCCTTTAGCCATGACAAGGAAGAGTGAAACTAACATTAAAACTACCTGAACCTACATAAACATCTTAACAACTAACTGTAGAATCAAACACTTCAGTCCACAGATACATTCAACAATAATATAAAAAACTGTTCCACGTCACAGTTCACTGAAAGCTTGAAGTAACTTATTTAAGACAAAACCCAACATTTTATGTTTGTTTTGATACACATTATTTAAAACTCTTTTAAAGCGTATTGTTAATCTGCAGGTAGATACTCATTTTCTGATCCATCTGCTGAGAAACAGCACAGGTCAGCATTGATCTCTCCTGTCTGCCTAATGTAAACATCAACACTCAATCAGCTGGAATGTTGTTTTTGCCTTTATTGTCAAATAAAGTAAATGCTCTGTTTTTTTTTAAATCTCTGAAACAGTTTCGTGTCAAATTGAACAGAAAATGTCGAACACGCGCACGTCTTATTTGCTGCAGGAATACTTTTGCGAAACTGATGCCCAATGACTCGGATAAAACAAGAGAACGCAGTGCAGTGTTGCCAGAACAATGACTACACACTAGGGGTGTAAGAAAATATCGATACATTGAAGTATCGCGATATTTTATTTCCCGATACTGTATCGATATTCTAAAGCCCTGTATCGATTTTTTATCAATGTTTACAATGTCAACTTTCCTGCCAGCCATTCATTTTTATGTTGTAGTTCAGCCTCTGACCACTAGTTGGCAGCAGTGAGCCAGGCTCACTGCTGCCAACTAGTGGGGCTCACTGCTGCCAACTAGTGGTCAGAGGCTGAACTACAACATAAAAATGATGCTAATTGGCAGCAGTGAGCCAGCCATTAGGCTACTCTACCTCTTGAGGTAGAGGCTATTGTTAAGTGTTGGGTGACCATATTGTAAATTCATATTAAAAACTAAAAGCTGC